TTTTTTTTGTTTTCCTGAGAACAGCTGAAGCAGGGGAGCAAAGACTCTTTAGGTCTGCAATGGATGGGGAGGCAGATTGCAGTGTCGGGCACTTACTACATCCTCACAAAAGCCCACCGCACACCAACAGAACAAGGGGAGGGCATGGCACTGGCCCAAAGTCACCCCACTAGGAGGAGAGAGGAGGAAGGGACGGGGTAGCACTGGCATGGAAACTCAGATGTGTCTGACACCTGCGTTAGGCTGGTTCGTGCCAGCATATGCCAACAATTGTCTCACTGGGTGTGTATTAAGGGAGCCCCAGGTGCTGGCCCATGTCCACCATCCTCCCACCCCCAGCCTCCTGAGTCACTGGGACTATAGGTGTGCCATACCCACTGTCCTCCTACCCTCAGCACCCACAGGATGCCCAGTGCTGCAGCACAGGCCTGCACCCTGCACACCCCGCCCCCACTGCCTCTTTGCCCTGCCCTTGCCACACACTCACCTGCTTGATGCACTGCAGTCGGTCATTGGTCTGCTGGATGTGCCTGTCCATAGAATTCATTCTGGCCGTTTCACTGGGTTCTACCCGAGAGCCATGAACGTTGTCCAGCCTGTGAAGAGAGAGGGTGTCACTGGGATCGTGCCAGGCCTGCAAACCTCACATCAGGCCCCCAGCCACCCTCTGGCCATATCACTAGTAGGTTCCAGGGCTCTTTGCTGGGCTCTGCAGGTCCCCAGGGGGCACAGTTGGAATGCCCCACTGAGCTGAGGGTAGGAGGTTCTCCTGGGTACTCTCTGAGTGTGGCTCATGTGAGCACAGGTCAGGCATGCCCACTGGGGGATAAGAAACTACTCTGGTATGTGGGAGGGGGGCATGGTGACCCCACGACTGGATTTCTGGACTAGGGCTTGGCCCACTCCATGAGGCTTTGTGTGCTGTGTATATATGATTGTGAGGGCCTTCCGGCAGGATGACCTTCACTGCAGGTGTGCTCTGAGTGTGCATCTCCTCTTGCAGGTCCCACCCGCCCTCCCTAATCCCTCATGCTAAGAGCTCTTCACATTTCCAACTCCATTGTTCTCACTTTGTCACCACCTCCCAGAAAAGAAAGGTGGGAATTAGCACCATACCCATTTTCCAGATAAGGAAACTGAGGCTCAGAGAGAGAAAGGGTGTTACCTGGCAGTGAGCCAGCTTCAGGGCCCATGCCAGGGACCAGTCCTGACTGCCAGCCCATAGCTACCTCTGCTGCACAGGCTAAGCAGACAGGGGACATGGATGGGCACTAGGCTCACCCTTCCTGAGTAGGCTGTTCAGGAACATTAACACGAGTGGGGCTTCCCTCTTAGATGGTAGAACTAAGTGGAGGAGGCTCTCTCAGCTCCAGAAACCTCTGAGAGTCCCCAGGAACCTCCAGGGAGACAACAACGGCAGTAGCAGAAACAGAGACAGAGAGGAGAGAGATTGCCCACTGCTGAAGGGTCCAGGTCCTTGGGCCAAAGCAGAAGTCTGCCCACTGCCAGCTTGGTCTGCCCTCCCATACCCAGGCTGCTGGGCAGGATGCCTATGGCCCTGGGCTTCTCTACTACCCTGCCACTCTGTACCCCAAAGATACCTCATCTCTGGCCATGTCAACAAAGGTCCCATTTACCTAGGACTTTACATGTGCTGGACACCTGCTTTCGCGCCTTTCCTTTCCATTTTACAGATGATGAAACTGATGTCACCAGATCTGCTGAATCCTCTTAGCTAACAGAATTTGGGGCTGTGCCTATGTGCTCTCTACGGCCTGACTGTCTGCCACCCTCTCATGATTAGCACCCTCACAGAGGGGACCAACACCACTGCCTGGTCCTTCTCTGATACACTCTAAAGCCATTCTTTTTTTTTTTTTGAGACAGAGCCTCAAGCTGTTGCCCTGGGTAGAGTGCCGTGGCATCACAGCTCACAGTAACTTCCAACTCCTGGGCTCAAGCGAGTCTCCTGCCTCCGCCTCCCAAGTAGCTGGGACCACAGGCGCCCGCCACAACGCCCGACTATTTTTTGGTTGCAGCCATCATTGTTGTTTGCTGGGCCCAGGCTGGATTTGAACCCACCAGCTCAGGTGTATGTGGCTAGCGCCTTAGCCACTGGAGCCACAGGCGCCGAACTTCTAAAGCCATTCTTATTGTGCGTTTGAAAAGGTGATTCATTTACACGGTTCAAAAATCAGGAAGTCCACAAGGGTATCCAGTGCCAACTCCTGGCCCTGTCACCAAATCCCGGGTGCCCTTTCTAGGAAAACTGGCACCATCAGTTCCCCTTCCAGAGAGCCTCATGTTCTCGAAGCAAATATTTATGTGTACTATCCCCTGCCACTTTTTCTTTTAAAAAAAACATAAAACAATAACCTCTGTACGCACTGTCTGGACCTTGCTTTTTTTCTTCTTAATAGTGTATCTCAAAGTTTATTCCACATCAAGACATAGCCTTTTCATTTTTTAATGGTTGCACAGTATTCTAAGGTATCGATGAAGCATTTATCCGTCTGACTATCTACCCCTGCCAGGGGCTGCTCTAAGGCTCCTCCCCACAGGGGCTCACACTCCAGCCTGAAATGATGGAGCCTGAAGCTCTCACCAATTTTTTACCATTGCAAACAGTGTTTCAGGAATAACCTTTTATGCTGGCACACTACACATGTGAATTAAGCAGTTTAGGAAGTGGAGTTGCTGGGTCATTTGGACATTTGTACTTTATAAGTGTTTTCTGAAGCTCTAAGCAAGAAGGTAAAAGAGTGGCTGTGCCCATATTTATTGCTTCCACCCCCACCCTGCCAGCCATCACAAACTTACACACCTTGTTGTCCATCTTCCCCACCCATCTCATATCTACCTAAATGCCTGCCTGTCCTTCTGTCCACCCACCCACTCAGACAAGTGCAGTCTCTACTTGCTCACCCATGCATGCTTCTACTCATCCAGGAAATGCCTTTAATAACTGCTGTGCTGGGCCCTAGGCTGGGTGGATGGGGTGTGCAGAGATTAGAATGAAGTAATTTTCCTGTGTCCAGGGAACTCTTGGTCCAAGCATGTATTCACTCTAGGTCACCTATGAATGACTATCTGTTGAGCTCCTCCTATGAGTCACATGCTCATCCAGGCCCAGGACAGAGAGATAATGCTATTATATTCCCACTTCACAGATAAGGAAACTGAGGCTTGGAGGTTATAGCTGGTTGGGTAGGAGCCGAATGAAGAGTCCTGGCTTTCCCATCATGACCTCAGCTCTTGCACAGGTGCTGGGAGTACAAGTGTGTATGTGTGTGTGTTGGGGGAGGAAGTAGTGAGGGTGCCGCTCCCTTTGCTACCCCTGCAGGTCTCCTAAGCGGTGGTTGAATTTCATCTCCTGAGTTAACCTACACAGAGCCACAGGTGACACTAGCTCCTGGGGACAGGGACAAATGGTGGTGGTGGATTGGAGACAGGGATTGAGCAGGGCACAGGAGAGCACAGAGCAGGAACAAGCCCATGCCATCTTCAGTGAAAATACCTTGGTTCCTGGTGCCAGGCACCATCTAAGCTGAAGGACCTGAGTGGTCTCCCAGGCACCAAATATATTCAGGTGGCTGCCAAGGCCAGGCTCCCATCCTGATGCATTGGTCAACAATGGTTGCCAACGTTCCAATAAAGAGTGCAGCATCCACAGCCAGCCTGAGGGACCCACCACACAAAGGCCAGGGCTGGGTCAGCTCCTGGCAGGAGACTGAAGGGAAGTGCAAAGAAACCCCAGGCCCACGCAGGCCTCCATCCCCGACCAGGACAAAGGGGCTGTGGTGGCCACTGCAGTCAGCAGGGGGCGCTGTTGACAAACATAAGTGCCCCAAGGGCCAGTAGAGGTTGCCGGCAGCATGGAGGTTCAGGATGTTCTCTCCTGACCTCACACCTCGCCCTCGCCCCAGGAGAGGCTCGGTTTAGTAGAACAGGACAGTGCAGGCTGGTATTAGGTGGTCTTACAAGGCTCTGCCTCTTTGGAGGAACTTACCCCAGCCTGGCCATGGCATTTCGTCCAGGGTCAGAAACCCAGAAGACCCTGCTAAGTGCTTGGTGGATACTGGCAGAGAGCTTCTGGAGTCTACTCAGGGGAGTGCCAAGCAGGCACTAGGAGCCCAGATCCACCCAACCTGCAACCTGGGCTTTTCTCCCAGGCTGTGGCTCCACCTTACAGGAACTGAGGAGTGAGAGACTGGGTTTGGGACACCTGCAGAACCCAGGGTAGATGGGTAGCTGGCAGGAAAGACATCACAGATCATAGGGACAGCTGTGTGTACTGTGTTTCATAATCTGTAAAAGAACAAATGGCTGGCTGATTAAGGAGGCACCTATAGGTGAGGTGATGTTTTCAAATTTCTGGGATCAGTGGTAGAAATCTAGGGTTATTAACACCAGGAATGGAAGTGACTGGAGACTCCAATAAAAGTCCAGGGTATTGAAGGCTGCGGGTTCCAGGCGTGAAGGGAGGAGGGGTGGGCCTAGGGAGATCGGTGAGAGACAGCTAGAGGAGGGGGGAGGCTGGGATCTTCCATTTGTTTTGTACCTGCTATATATGGGTCTAGGCAGTGCTAATTTTCTCTATACTTAAAAGGCTCAGAGAGGTGAAGGAACTTGCCTAAAGTCACATAGCCAGAACACTGCCAGGTTGAGATTCAAATCCTCTGCCTTTCCAACTGTTGATGTATTGTTCTTCCCTCTCCTCTGGAGTGGTACTCAGAGCCTCCTAGCACTCCCTACTTGATGCTGTGTCTGCGTCCGAAGAGCTGTTCTCCTTTGTCACTTAACCTGCCCAAACCCAGTCACTAGCTTCCAAGGCCATCCCAGCACCTCTGGGCTCTCTGTGTGCCTGCTGGGCTGGGAAGGGGGCACCTAGTGGCCAGCAGAGGTCGCCCTTCACCATCGGAGCACCCGGCTTGGCTGCTGCCTCCGCCTCCAGGCACCTGGACTCCTTTAAGCCTTTACAAGTTGCTACAAATCCTCCGTGGCTGCAGCTCCAGAGACTGGCAAAGCCAGGCTCCCTCCCAACAGATCATTGGCCTGGCCCTGGGTGCACCCCTGGCCTCAGCCTTTCCTACTGCCTGTCTGCCTCTGATGGGGGCTGGGCTCAAGCGGGGGGAGCTCACCATCTACCCTGGCCTGAGCCGCAGCAGTCTTGACAGCCATGCAAAGTTAATCTGCACAAAGGGACAGAGGGGTTCCCTGCCCCGTCACCATCCTGCTGTGTGAGAAGGAAAAGATCTAGGACTCAGTTTCCCCATCTGTGAGATGAAGGATTGGGCTAGTCAGCCTTTGGCAACCCATCAAACTCCCACATCTCAGGATTTCCCTGTGAGGAGCTCCAGCTCTTTGGAAAACTCCATCAACACAAGAGCAGACTGCTTGCCTTTGAAACTGCAAAGCCTGTTCCAGGCCAGGCTGGTGGGGAGGCTGCAGGCCCCCGGAGTCATCCATCCAGGTTAGCCCAAGGCCACAATGCTGCTCCTTCCTGCTGCCCCTTCCCCAGCTCTGCACTTTCCATGCTCCTCATGCTTGGCTGGGCTTAGCTGCGCAAATGGAAGTTTCTGAATGGTGACATTGG